CAATGCGGCCTGTGCGTACATGTATGACATTTTAGCTTAGTGTGCAGTAATAGACCTGTAGGGGGATACTAGTAAACTCAACGTTAGATAAAGGTATATGTAATAAGAGCTGATGATGTAATACTCTTTGAGGTGGTAACAAAGTGACGTATTACATTTTCAGTCCAGTATGCTTTCGCTAGAAGTGCTGGGCCTATGCTAAAAGTGCTAGTTCTAGTAATCATACTTGCTAAAGCCAGTAAGTAGCAACCCTTTGCATGCATGTAGGAATTTGTAATCCAGTATGTTACCATAACGTATATGGGGATTATAGTAAACAGAAAGGTTTAAGAGCGTGCATTTAATTTTATGGTAGGCCATGGATGACAGACGGTTTCGTCACTAGTGAAACATTTCGATAAAAATGGTGATGAAGAATGAGTTGCGATTGCTGTAGAATGATGTTTAATCGTCGCGTGTTTCGGATTTTCATTCGAACCTTCCATAAAAATACAGCTGTTTATAAGGATGATGGGCGCAAAGTGGGCAAAGTATTTATAAGATATCACCATTTCCGTGCTAGGATGATAAATTCCGGCATTCCCTCGCCGGTCATCGCATTTGATACAATTATTCCTCGTTCGTCCACATTCGAGTCGTTAATTATCACAATTTTGCCGCTGTTGTCCATTAGTGCCGTTGTTAAAATAAACAATCGAGAGAAAAAACGACACTCTTCAAACCACAAGTCACTTAAGAGAGATTGGGTGGGGAAAGCTTTACTGAGGCAAGCGATAACTGAAGTGCATCCAATTGAGCTTTTTTCCAGCCAGGGCTAATCGATGAGAAGGGGATTGCTGATTGGCGCCAAGCGTTGGCGGATGCTGTCCTAAGTCCGTACGCAGTCCTTGGCAGGCGTAGGCGTCAAAAGTCAGCAGCAGCGGTGACAACTGCAACAACGGGCAGCTACAGCGTTATAATCACTCGGACATTAAGTTTTCTGATGCTGTTAATGGAGGCGGAGTTCACCCAGACTTCCACCCCATAACCGAGTAATCTGTCCAAGCAAATGTTCAGCGTTTGCTATGAAGAAGCAGGTCATTGCGCTCCTTGACACTTTGCGGGCCGGCGCACTGTAACTCTAGCGTCTCCTAAATGCAGGGAATTTAACATCTTGTTTCGGCAGTCTCAGTTCGTATTTCTAAGCCACTTCCTGTAACCTCGCTTCTTCGTTTATATCAGAACGCTCAGAGTCGTCGTTCTCACAATCGTTCGAGCCAGTTACAAAAGTCAGTCTTCAATGCACCCAGTATCTGTTTAAGCCTTCATAAGATTTAGCCTGCACTCCGTTTAAGTCACCCCTTCGACATTAGCTTGAACTGTCTAAATGCAAAATAAGAACTAGTATATCATCGAAGACGATTGTTGGTGAAACGTGGAAGATGCGTCTCCTCATGTTTTCCGAGCAGCTTTCTCCATGAATCCGAGAAAGGACCATCGGGAATTTAAGAGATCCTCTTGAAACTATTCTCTCTGCCTCGTGTCCCTCGAGAACCTAGATGTTTCCATTAACCACCGCTGAATCAAACGAAGCAATCCGAGAACCTAGATGTTTCCATTAACCACCGCTGAATCAAACGAAGCCACGCTGAAGTACTCAGTCTAAAATGCTGCGGTTTCGTTGACTACTAACCTTCATCAGACCTCCAGCACCTATTTCTGCTCCACTACTATCTTCCTAAGCAGTTTTTATTCTTTACACACTTTTTGGAACATGGAGGCCCGTTGAACTGTTTTTTTCTCTTACACACTTTTTGAACATGGAGGCCCGTTGAACTCTGCATTTAAGAGTTTTTTTAACTGCCATAAGTTTTAGTTTTTAAGTTCACAATTACCTCCAAAACATTGCTAAATGTTGCCTCAAAGGCAAATTGTTCACAATTACCTGCAAAACATTGCTAAATGCTGCCCCAAAAGGACAATTAATGACATTATTACGACTTTCTACGTCTATTTGCACATATTGTCAAATTCTTTTTGAATTTTTATTCTTTCGAGATTAACTTTGTACAGATAGTGCCGTACCGGCGCTGAAAAAAATATAAATTCCAAATTCCAAACAGTCGCTTGTTCACGACAGTAAACACTTCCATCTGGTGTTCTTCAGTTTGAAAAAGGGCGCAGCTTGTGGTCGGCCTTAGTCAGTTATATCGAAAGCGCATCGTCTGCGTCCTTCCGTACAAACACCTTTAGATTAAAGAACTCCGCCATCGGGTACTCCAGAGACGATCGTGCATGCGGTGGGCTGACCAGGAGAGGGAATTTCGATTCACGTATTCCTTATCCAATGCTTCATATTATGATTTAATATTGAAGCCGAAAACCGCTGAAAATCACAGATATCCTAGAGGTACCCTAAGCATGAATTCCAACATATCCAATAACGACGCCATTTTACTTTAGGAGCCGCGCAACACAGTGTTTTCTCTCTCGCACACACTTGTTAATAACCTTTTTCAGTCCCCCTCATTTCGTGCCTACCAACGCCCATCCACTCATTCTTTAACACCCTCACGGGCGTGATTAGTTAAACTTAACTAGTTAAATGGTGGCAATCAACTTAACCTCACAGAAATTGTTTCAATAATCTAATGCTTTGCCACAAAAAACGCACCACAGATAAACAGAAAAAATTCTTATTGATATTTCTTAATTACTTATATTTTACTTTGATTTATGTTCACTTTTATCTTTGTAATTAGTTTATTATTGAGTTTCATTAGTTTAATTATATTTTTGGCCTTCTTTTAAGTTTGCTTTGTTAACTTTATTGTAGATTGCCTTTGCTTATTACTTTAGTTAGGTTTTAGTTTAATTTTTAGTTTAGTTTTAGATTTATTGGCCACATCCGGTTGTTTTTCGAGTTAACACTTTTACTAGTTTCCTTTACCTCGGCTTGGCTGATTTGGTTTATTTAACCTATTTGTATTTTACCCTAATAACAATTCGGTGCCGAATCTACGCCGAATCTAATTAGAGGTGATGATTAATCTAAGACAAATCTATGAT